AGTAACACTGAGCATCCATTTATTTCTCGAAACAATATCAGCAAGCCGTCCGATTAGCCGCTCAGCGCACTCAAGTTCAATGGTACACTGCTACCTCGTCCAGCACGGTACCGCCGGGGACCTCCCACAAACGGTCGTGGCTTGGGAAGCAGCCCGTCGCTCTGAAATTTGAACCGACTGTCTTCCACTCGAATTATTCCATGCGAGCCCGTGCTCTGATGCCCGGGGGACGAGCCGCCATTGGTTAGGGTATAAGCACTCGGATCCAGGGTCGAGCGGGTCACAGACTGGCTAGGCGGCGGTGTTGGAGGTTGCGCTGGAGGAGGTGGCGGATGACTGGGGTGTAATGCTGGTGCMGTTGGAGGAGCCGATGGCGGGGGTGGTGGTGGAGGCGCTGATGGGGCAGATGCTGCTGGAGGAGGCGGAGGAGGTGCGGATGGCGCATGGTTACTATGTCCGAGAGCGTTCCTGGCAGCTTGCACCGCGATAGAAGCAGCCGCTGCCCCATTTGTATGTGGTGATGAACCTGCTGCTGCCGGAGGTGGAGGGGGAGGGGTCAATCGTGCAGGTGCGGGAGGAGGCGGTCGGGGTGCTGAGGATGCTGGCGGCGGAGGAGGAGGTGCAGCCGGACTGGAAGGGGCAGGGGGTGGAGGTGGAGGAGCTGGCGAGGACGGCTTCCTCGACGTCAACGGAGGAGGTGGCAGTTTCGCCGAACCAGGCAAAGGAGGAGGTGCGCGTGGAGGTGGGACATCCGGGGTGGTTTTGATTGATGTAGATGAGATAGTTGAGGAAGGCCTTGCGGCTGGTCTCGGCGGAGGTTTGCGCAGATTAGCAACGAGCGGGTTAAGCGGAGGGGCAGACGGCGGTTCTGTAGAAGACGGTGGTAGTGGTGGACGAGCACCTGGAGGCTTTGGAGCAGAAGCGACAGGAGGCCGTGGAGCTCGCGAAGCCTCCGGGTCTGACATATAAGGCGAGTCACGGTTGGCTCCTGTGTCAACCCCGCCCCGACTGCGCAATTTGGGCATCCCTCCTGCGAAGAGTCCTCCCAGTTGAGGAGCAGTAGATGTACCGCTATCTCCACCGCCGCCGCTGTCGCTACTGCTTCGTACTCGGTTGGCTGAGGGAATAGGTGGTGCCAGGCCACTCGGGGGTTTCGACATGCCAGGAACAGGAGGTGCACCTGCCACTGGAGGTGCAGCTGATTTAACTCCTCCCGCAATCAAGGGTGCTGATCTGTCATTTGTGACGGCCTTCTTCAGTCTAGTGCCTTTGGTGATATCCGAAAGAAGCGCGCTCTACCAGGACATTAGCTGCGGGTCTTGGAAAGGCAAGGAACCGGCTTCCTACTGACCCTATCTTTGACTTCGCCCTTAGCTGGCCGACTTGGAAGACTCCCAGACGGAGGAGGGGGAGGGGGAGGTCCGCCCATGCCCCCTGGTGGAGGAGGGGGAGGAGGAGGGCCACCCATCCCTCCAGGCGGCGGCGGAGGAGGTGGTGGAGGAGGAGGCATGTTGGTTCGAGGAGCAGTAATCGAAGGGATAATGACAATCCAGTCCGGGTTATAATATGTAGAGATGAAATGAAAATACGAAGGATTCAATCCCCCGTAAGGCTAAAGATCATCTGACGATTGTCAATCTTTGGCGATGGCTGCCTTTGGGGAAGTTAAAGTTAGTACGTCAGGCAGCTGGGTTAGTTGAAGGACGGAGATGAGGTAGTGGCGGTGCTACTCCAGTGTGCTGACATCTCCGCTTTTTTCCAGGTCAGGTCTACCAACTCCTCAAAAAAGACCGCGCATACTCACTCTCAACCCCCAAAGTCTCCCACTCCCACCATGAAGGGCTTGAACATTAGGGGCCAGAAGACTTCTAGGTCACAGGCTCTAGTTTGTCAATTTTGCCAACTCTCCACAAGGCCAATTGCCCGTCAGGCGCCGTTTGCGCGGTACTATTCATTCACGTCGACAACCGCTACCCGAGCTCAATCCAGACAATTGCGGCCAAAGAAGGATTCAAGAAATCCATGGGTCCCTGACAGGCTTGTACCTAGCCGATTGGCATCGACTTCCTCGGACACGACTTCCTCTTTCGACCCAGAGACATTATTGCGACAAGTCTCCTGTGAGTCTTCTGAACTTCTCAAGCTCGACTCCGTACCCTCCAACGAGTCAGTTGTGAAGATTCTACAAAAATGTGAACAAATAGCAGAGGCTCTCGTGAGTCGCGAGCAAGACAAAGTCGAGAAGCCTCCTTCCGCTGGGGAAGAGGGAAGTGCAATCTCCTCGTTACTAGATCTGGAGGAAAAGAACGCATCAAAAAAGCACTTCAAATCAATCCGCGACGCGCAACCCCGCCTAGCTGAGTCGCTGTCGCAGATCGCTACAGGGCTTCTCAAGGAGGAAAAGGTCTTCATTTCGCCAGAAGCGATGGCAAGCTATACCAAGATCCAGACCCTTTTGAAGAAGGCCGACCATTTCCCCGAGATCTTCTACCTGTACGCCCACAAGCCAGTTCCCGAGGAGAACAGTTCACCTGTTAAATACCACAAGGCAAATCCCAAGAGCGTCAACAGCGCCATTCCCACCGAACTTGCCAACAAGGCGCTGGACATCGCCATCGAACAACGTAACCTCCCACTCGTCCTCGCCATCATTGATAATACATTTTGCGCCCCAGCCTTCCACCGTGCAAAGCTCTTCAAGAAGGCTGCTGTGCCACTAGGTGGACTTGCAGCCACGCCAGCCGCGTGTTACGCCATCGCTTCCTGGGCCTCTAACTTGCAAAACACCATGGATCCCAGCACAGCGACTGGCATTGCCTTCGCCGCCACCCTCGCCTATGTCGGAGGTACATCGTCGATCGGCCTTTTGGCTATCACATCGGCTAACGACCAGATGGAAAGGGTTGTTTGGCAGCCTGGAGTTCCGTTACGACATCGCTGGCTGCGAGAGGAGGAGCGCGCCGCGCTCGATAGGGTTGCCGTTGCTTGGGGATTCAAGGATATCTACATGAGGGGCGAGGAGGAGGGAGAAGAGTGGGACAGCCTGCGTGAGTTCATCGGTATGAGAGGGATGATCCTCGACAAGACGGATCTTATGCCCGGGATGCAGTAGGTATTTACCCTACTTATCCACATGTATATTATCTTTATGGACAGCACTATATGTACTCTATACGGCCGGCGTATATCCTAGAATAGATGAAGAATGTAAGATGTGCGATATCGCAGCACACTACGGAATTGAAAGGAAAAAATTTAGGTACCAGTCGTGGACATCACATTTCCTATCTATGGAATATACAATCCCACACCTGAGCGCCTAAAAAAATCTGACACAAAGCTAATTGCGCAGAGAATCTAGTAGAGACGCTTGGGGGGAGACATGGTAGCCTTGAGGACAAGGCTGCCAACGTTCTGCCAGCCCTTCTTCAGCAGGGAGACGAGGTAGTTGATGGCCAGCATGACGTTGGCGACGAGCTCATCCTGAGTCATGCCGACGTTGCCAACGGCAACACCGAGGCAGAGAACCTTCTTAAGCTGGAACTTGATGGTGGACTTGATCTCGGTGACCTTGTTGGCCATGTCCTCGTTGTGAGAGACGGGGGTAGGGAATTTACCAGCTGTGTCAAGTTAGCATTTGCTAAGAGGCAATGCCGCGCGCCGTGCGTGCTTCGGGAACCGAGAATACATACCCTTGGACAGACCGGGACCCAGGAGACGAGGAATCTGCTTGATGAGGGTGTCGGAAGCAAGGAAGGCATCGTACTTGCGAGCAAGCTTCTTGATGAGCTTCTTGTTCTTGTTGAGCTTCTTCAGGTCATCAGCGGACATGGCATCGATGCCGTGGTGCTTGGCACGGTCGAGATCGTGCTGGTCACCAAGAACACTGCAGACAATCACCGTCAGCAACCTTATTCCCAGGTCTATGTGCTACCTCATCCTTCTCCCGATGATGCGTATGAAGACATTTCATCGAAGGATGGGTCGGTCGGAAACGTTGACGTACCAGATGGTCATGTTGGGACGGGGAACGGTGGGCAGCTTGATGGTGCCAGAGAAACGCTTGTCACGCTGGGGGTCGTAGTTCTTCAGACCGATCTGAAGCTCGACGGTCTCGAGGAAGTTTCTCTTCTTCTCATTCTGAGAGTAGTTGAGCAGCTGCTCGATATTCTCGCGCACTCCGGCTGTAACCAGGCGACATATTAGTTGCTGTTTCACAAAGGTCGCAGGTAGAATTCTGATGCATACCGACTGTGATCTTAGACATGATGGTGACAGTCTTCCAAAAGAATAACTCTTATGGTGTGGCTCTGCGCTGAATATCGGTGCAAGGACGAGAGAAAAAGACTTCGGCTCGCTATCCGCCATGAGAAAATCCCGTTCTCCGCTTGTGGGTGTGGATGGCACTAGCCTGATTGGGACCTAGGTTTGCCCTAACTACAGTCATTAATTACTAAGCTGTGAATAAACTTATGTGCATAAATAAACTATGCTTCATTGTCCCATCCACATCGATTAGCTCAGTGGCGCTTGACTGATCATACTTCACTTTAACAACAATCTAACACCTTGGTTTTACTACTCTAGTCCGCTACGAATCGATGGTGCCTTTATACATTCTAGATGACTTGATCTTCCAGGATGGTAAACCAGCCCCAGAACAGCCGAGCCGTCCGGGTGGCTGCTTCATGCACGGAATGTCAACGTCGGAAGCAGAAGGCAAGCAAAAACCGAGGCCGTAATCTTGAAATGCATCCTTGACATTCTCTGACTTATCTTATAGTGCAGTCGTGAATGGCCCTGTAATCATTGTCAGGCAAGAAGAATTGCCCACCTATGTAAATTTGAGCCGAAGAAAGTGTTGAGAGCAAGTAAAGCAACTGTCAATGATTCGAGGTTCGTTATGGACGTTATCATTCCGTCCATCCTAGCTAAAGCTTGTTAGACAAGCCGTTCCTGCTCGCGCTATTAGCGCTGACAAAGGGCAAATTGCCTCCCCAATGGCTGGGACCGCTGTCGAGGACAGTAAAGAGGACTTCAAGGTCTTGGGGTACCTCCCTGAGGTTCAATCGGGAGAGCATATGAGCGGAGTATGCTTCTTCGACGAAGAGATACCTGGCATTTTACTGTGGGCTAAGTCTTCAATAGGATTCTGCTGCAATTTCAAAGAAGCCAGGAGGAACGTATTCTCCGGAAATGGAGAATGCGTTACGTGTAATCCCACCAAAGCCTTATACAGGTATGTGCGCGGATATCTGCGCTTGAGAATGAGCTCACATGACTCTAGATATTTTGGTACAACACTATATCCGTGAAACGAACTCGCAGTACTATTGCCTATATCCACCCATGTTCCTACGTGATTACTCTGCATGGTGGACGGGTAAAACCAGCGGTCAGCAGTTGACTGCGGAGTTTACCTGTCTATTGATACGGACATGTGCATGTGCAGCATTGTTCCTCGATCCTGGATTAAAGCAGAAGCTCGAAATGGAGTTGGGAGAAAGTGTTGAGAGCCTTTCTGAGCGATACCATCATGCGGCCAAACAACTGAGCAGCACTATTCCCCCAGGGAAAGGGGGACTAACACAGGTTCAGCAACTATTTCTCACAGCAGCCTGGTATAAGGCTGAAGCCATGTTTGTTGAATCTTGGCATGTCTTGAGCTCCGCCATCCACGAGGCCCAAGAGTTGGGTAGGTAGCTAGTCCTAGTCATTCGTCAAAAAGGCGCTAATTGCGAACATCATGGTCGAATAGGCATGCATAAGAGCCTTTCCAAGGTAGGACTTCCAGAATTTGACCTGGAAATGAGGCGACGTATGTGGTGTATCCTGTATAGTTGGGACTGGTAAGTTCCTTCACATCTATTTAGGCTTCGTGGCTCACTTATGAAGGCAAATGTCCCTCATGCTATCCCGCCCCTTTATCATTAACAGCAATTACTGCTCCTTTGAAATGCCCAATGTGAGGTTGGAAAGCGACCATATTGAAGCAGACGTGCCTTCGGCTATAGTCCACATCGCACTCCAGTGCCAACTCGGCCAGGCCTTATCCAAGATACCAGGGGTAATGGGTGGAACAATGACTCCCGCAATCGCCATCACTGTTCAACAAGAGACCGAGAAATGGCTTGCTTCATTTCCGCCTGCTTATAGGCTTGTCAATCCTGACATGCAATGGGACCATGATTACAAATACGTGGAGGTGCAACGCAAACAGCTGCATACTATTGCCTATCTGGTCATGCTTATGCCATTGAAACAATGTCTCACAAGAGACGTACATCAAGACACCTCCTCTATCGAGAAGAGTCTCCAGCCCACTGCCATTGACATTGCACTGAAATTGGTCAAGGCAGCTCACCAACTCCTTGATTGCATGTTGCCCCTACATGCGAAATTTCATTTTGCCCCGTTCGCAATGTTCGACACAGCCGCCAGCCTATGTTCAGCCATCATCCACGACCATGGACGACGTCTCCCTCAGCGAGACGAGGTTATTGAAGCAATCAGTGTGACTCTGCGCACACTAGAACAGATCACCCACGACACGAAAACCGCCGCAATATGCTACTCAGTGCTCTCAAAACTTGTCAACAGACTCTCCTTGACCCCAGAGGAGGAATTGATCCTGCGCTCCAAATCATCCGACATCCCACGTACAGGGGTGAAGAAGCCTTCTGACTCTCAGTTGACTTTGGATGCGGTCCCTAGCATCGACTTTGGCATTAATAACAATCTGCAGCCTTTAGACGCACACAGCCCTGAGATGTATGCTTCCACAATGTCAGGTTATTCCTCCCTGGAGCCACTGGCGCCTCCGTCCACGGACCTTCAAGAGCTTTTCAACATGGATCTTGGTGAATTAGGCCAGATTTGGGATATGGAGAATCTCGGTCTTGATTTTCCACTGGCCTAGCTGCTTAGGGTTTACCCCTTTGCCAGTTCGTGAGCTGGCTTATTTGTATCATGCAGGAACCGACACCATACCAGCTGCCGCTGCGCCTGCTATTGAGAGAGCCTATGATCACGATCACTGTTATCTGAATCTGAACTTCGACTGCACGTCATTTCTGCTGGATATTGCAGCGAGACGACAGTCAACACGGTTTGACTGTCGCATCGCGTATACGACGTGCTCCAATATGAAAACAAAGTGTCGTCCAACGAGCATTACGAATTCGGCTTATGTTTTGGTCTGGTGCTTACCTGTTTGTAGAATGAGAGCGCTACCTCTCTGCTTAAATATGCTCCAAGGATAGCATATAGGGACTCTAATATTTGATTTGAGTCATAATGTAGCTGCATATTTGAAGCCATATATATTGGTAACACCACGTGACACTGCATCACTTTCAAGAGCATATTTGGTGTCTTTCAACTTAACTTTCTATATAGGTCAACGCCTTGACCATATCAGAAATGAAATATCAATGCGCATCTTTTACCTGAATGTATTCATATCCGAGTTACACTTAGGAATCTTAAGAAAAGTGATCAGCAGTCGCATGAACATGCCACATAGTTGCAGAGGGTCCCATGAGGAAACCAACAAGTCAGCTGCACGCAAGAACAGCAAAATCAAGTAATTCTGACAATTATTTCGTGCATTCTGTAACACATCAATTCGCGCTGATGTCAGGGTCAGTCGACAGCCACACGAGGACTATCATCTGCAGGGTTATTATTAGGCGCTGGCTGGGCGCTTAACCTGGCCCTGATATTAATATGCGATGCCCCCTTGAACTTAACTTGTATCTCTTGCTCGTGCGCTCAGAGATTTATTTGAGACTGAGGATCACAGCTACAGAGGCAAACTGGAAACAGCATGTCCAGCTCATCAGCGAGTAGAGACCAGAACCCCTATGAGAACTACGCGAGCTTTACAGGTGGACCGACCCTTAAGGCTAAATTTGGCGATATTGACGAGGAGTCATGTTTTTATGCGTATAATAGACGGTTACGAGATCCGCAGACGCAGAATTTCGTGCTGGATTTCGGGAATGACGATGCCTGGTGTGCAATGAATCTGAGCCAGGAAGACTTCGGCCTGTTGCTGCGGAAGCCAGTAAGTCGCATTCGCATTTCGCATAACCGTGGACAACAAGTGTTGATATGTGAGCTTCAGAAACCGAATTGCTTCGGGACTAGGTGGATGTGAGTTACTCTCCGTCGTCCGGATATTGATACTGACGACGTCTGGTCGAAGTAATATTTGGGCCCCAGAAGAACAGAAGGATGTGATCAAGGTTCGTCAGGAATGTCATACAAGAGTACAGAACGCTGATGATCCAGGAAATTACGAGCTACTACGGCGTCTCTGAAAGGCTACAGGGGATGATGTGTACTGATCCCGTAGCAGCTCCGCCAAAAGCTCCAGCACGCGTGCAGTCTCTGAGGGCTAGCTTCCACAGAAGCATTGATCGATCGCATCGTCCTCGCAGGGAAGATCTTGAGGAGGCCGTTTCATTGAAGAACTTATCAGATCCAGACGACATTCAAAAGGCAGCTTCATTCCGAGGCCTTACGTTTGCCCACGTCACAAACCAGATTTGGCACTTTTGCTCCGTGGATCATGGACCCCGATGTATAAACTCGGAGACTCTCATCGTTACTTGCGAATGCTGACCGAATCCAGATACTTGCGTTGGATATAACTCGTTATACGTAATCCCAAACGTTGATATATCAAACGGAAGAGACCTGCCTAGTGGAAAGAGACTATGGTCCTGGTTAATCCATTGCGACGATGGTGCGGACAACCTAGCACAATTGTGGCCACAGTTGCTGACGAAGCAAGGGACTGTCATATCAATCCAAGAAAACCCGTATCCCCGAGTATCAGAGCCAAGACCAGAATCAGAAGTCAAGTCGGTTCTGGGAGTCGTGCGCAGAAACGTGCAGATGATATTTTCAGGTGCTTCCAAGCAGCACTCTGCTTCATCCGAAAGTGACTCGTTGGTCACCATTCGAGTCCGAGCGTCTAATGACTCTCGTTCGGACCACGTTAGTATTCGTCAGGATGATGGCCCTGGCCTGCTTTTTTACTACATCTTCGATGACTGGGTGACGAGTTATGCTCTAATTGCAAAGCGTGAGCATAAGTACGGAGTCTTGCTGGATCGACTGGTAAGAATCATTTTTGCAAAAGCATAGGTCGTGCTCAAGGGCTGATCTAAGAGAACAGAGAGAGGACATGTTGAACAAACCGGTCGTCGACTTGGTAAATGAACTACATTGGCTGGGTAGAAGGCTGGCAGCCCTACGGCGCCTGTACCAGAGCTACGAGCTCATCCTGACGCGCGTGCTTCAGAGACAGCGCTTGCTGTGCGATGAGGCGCGCTTAAGGCACCCGAGAATGCCACCTGGGCTCATCATTCAGAGTGAATCAGAATTGTCGAGCAACTGTGGAAACTCTGTAGGCGTGCGCTTGAACTCCGCAGCCGTTGCTCGCTTCGAAAGATTGCTTGATCGGATCAAACTGTATTGCTTATCTGAGATCGAGGCCTGTTTGACAGAGAAGGAGTCCCTCACATTCCTGGTCAGCGAGCACCTCTTCGCCTTCAAATGTACTGATTTGTTGACGAGTTAGCGCAGAACTTCAACTTGATCGCCTTGAAAGATTCACAGGCTGTCGAGAAGCTGACGAGAATCACCATTCTGCTGGCGAAAATCACGATTCTTTTCTTGCCAGTCAGTTTGATGACGGCGTATTTTTCGACCGAACTCAGTGGTGTCAAAGGAGTATATACGCAGACCGAATATTGGATCAGCTTCGCAGTCATCATGGTCCTGTCCTTGCTGATCCTTGTTCTCTTTGGTTACGCCAGCGGCACCATCGAGGGCAGGCCAATCTATCAATCACTGTCGCGAACATTTATCTCCTCATCCAAAGATAAACTCGGCCATCAGCGAAAACACGTCGATTAGCTTTGATGCACAAGGCATGCAGAGTCGGCTTGAATCTGAGAAATGATGCTCGTACTCTTCGAAATTAGATACAGCCAGATCTACCTGCATCCACAGCTTCTCATGATTATGACGCGTAGATAGAGTGGCCCCCTGTGGGTTTCACGTTACCAGTGAGCGCCGGGTATCTGGAGCCAACCACCAGCCTGGAATTGCGGCGATGAGATAATGGGTACTAATAACACGTTACCTACTTAAAGAGAACACGAGACAGGGCACATTTGCGAATTGCGACAGATACCTAGGCCCAGTGCCACCCAAGGTGATCCACTGGGACGGGGCTGATTCAAGAGCCAATCCGGGAACCTATCAGAAAGGGACCAGACCCAGACTGTCCAGACTTTGTGCCTTTGTATTTGGGGCCCGGAAGTGTGCAGCATAAGGGGAAAAGGAACAAATGGCCTGATTACGAGCAAGAATAGGCATCAATGAAGAGAATTTTGAGCAAGCAGCTCATTCGATTTTCAGTATCCAAGTTACCGTCGCACAGTGATAGTCGGTATATGATCGCTCGCAGTATCATCACTGCCCTGAAAGGAGCCGTTCTTAGTGCGCCAATAGACGGGAAACACCGTGTCCTCTTCATGTGGCCAGGCAGAGAAGATTCAAGAAGCGCAGTATAAGGGGACAAGTAGCAGACAAGAATGTCCAGTCTTGTTCCTGTAGAGAGTCATTACTATTGTTCAAGAAGAGAACCAGATGAAATTTGACGCCATCCAGAGTCCACAATAATAGAGAGATAGATACTTCGTACTGAGTGTCGTGATTCTGGTGGTTTCGTTAGTGACGGAAGCTACGCCGGCGGCTGAATTTCTCGACCTGGCATTTTTGCACCCAAAAATTCCAACACCGACAAAAACAAGACCCGGCTCAGACACAAGACACAGGCACAGAGAGAGAGCGTGGTCTGTCTGCTACTCCATCCTACCTTAATTCTATCTATCTATCATCATCACCATCACCCTTACCCTCGTGTATCCACGTTTTGTTTCCTATTCTCCAGCTTCTTCTGTGTTGGTAAGTCTGCCCTTGCTATATTCTCTTTTTATTTTCTCTTCGACTTATTTCCCTACTTTTGCCCCTCTCCCCTCTCTCCCTTTCCCTCTCTCTCTCTCCCCTGAACTCTCCCATCTCACCGTTATTCCCCGGTGTGAATACGCCCCTCGTTCTCAAGCCACCCCATACTCAGTCCCCGTGTCTGTTTGCACTTGGACCTTCGACTCTTTCTCTCTGCCTATATCTCTCATATTCTCCGTTATAAACCAATCAGACCGTAAACTTTCGATTGACTGACCTCTACCGTCGCACTCCCCTTAGACTCGTTTACGCCGCCGCCAACATGGGTCTCACCTTCTCGAAGTTGTTCGATAGACTATGGGGTCGAAAGGAGATGCGAATCCTGATGGTTGGTCTTGACGCCGCCGGAAAGACCACCATCCTGTACAAGCTGAAGCTGGGTGAAATCGTCACCACTATTCCCACGATTGGTCAGTCATCCATTCCCGCTGGTTCGGGTCGTTCGTCAATTCATTACGCCGGATAATCCTCGTCGTTCGCGTGCGAGAAGGAAGGTGTTGCTGACATTGGTTTACGTGTCAAGGTTTCAACGTCGAGACCGTCGAGTACAAGAACATTCAGTTCACCGTGTGGGACGTCGGTGGCCAGGACAAGATCCGTCCTCTCTGGAGACACTACTTCCAGAACACCCAGGGTATCATTTTCGTCGTCGATAGCAACGATCGCGACCGTATTGTCGAGGCCCGGGAAGAGCTGCAGCGCATGTTGAACGAAGATGAACTCCGTGATGCTCTGCTCCTTGTTTTCGCCAACAAGCAAGATCTGCCTGTATGAGACTCCTTGTGCGGTTTTGTTCGGTATGATACTGATGACTTTTTAGAACGCCATGAGCCCCGCCGAGATCACCCAGCAGCTTGGTCTGCAAAGTCTTACCCGTCGTGCTTGGGTAAGTTTACTTGACTGCCGGTGCGGATCCTTGACAGTACACTAATTTATGTTTAGTACATCCAATCTACCTGCGCCACCACTGGTGACGGTCTGTATGAAGGTCTGGAATGGCTCGCCGATGCGCTGAGGAAATCGAACAACTCTTAGAATGTTATAATATGACGAGTGGAAGAAAACCCGAAACTGTGACGAGGAGTTGCGCGGATGATGGTTGGGGGACCAGGGCCGGCAAAGACACCTTGCATACGGAAGGGATTTGCTTCTTGGTGGTACTTGTATGTTCTCTAACGGCTCTTCATTCCTCTATGCTATTAGCTTTTATTTCTTCTTTCGTCCCGGCGTCGATTCCAACAAATACTCCTTTGTGCCTTTTGAAAAACCATTTTTCATCTGTTGTTCATGTCCTCGAGAGTCAAGGCTGGCTCGACGTTTATGATCCATCCAGAATGGTTATGTTTCACTAAACATATTGATAGGTGTCGGAAGTAGATGAAATGAATTTGATGCACTTGAAGACTAGATTTCAGACGATCTTCTCAATAGGCCCTCCACTGATCGAGGAAAAGTATATGGTCTTTGTACAACTAGGGCGCTTCTGATGTTATGAACACAATACCCATGCACTCTTTGCTGGACGGACCTTCTCACTCTCCTCTTTCCACCTCCGTCCCACCAACCCACCACACAGCCGCCCGAATAATGTCCATCACGATCTCCAACTCCCTCTCATCCCTTGGCGCATAAATCATCACAAACCCCGGCGGCACACTCTTCGCCCACCACCACCAGCACCACCCGTCCCCGCCGTCGTCCCACGCAAGCGGATGCCGCTCCCCCCACCCCTTCTCCAGCACGACCCTCACATCCGCCGGATGCAGCATGAGATGCAAGCTCCCGTCACTGGGATGCGAGTGGCAGACTTCGCCGTCGCAGGTGAGGCGGTGTACCTGCCCGGACGGCAGCGACTGCGCCAGCGCGGAGACAGCGGGCCCGCCCGCGCCCACGCAGAAGATCCCCGTGCTATGTTTCTCGAAGCAGGAGGTCGCGGCGTGGAGACTGCCTGGGTGCGCGTTGACCAGGTCGTGGATGCGGTTCGACAGCGTCGCGTACATCGTTTTGCTGGCGCGCTGGGTCGTCTGTCTGTGGGGTGCTATCCCTGCGACGGTTGGCCGGGGCCCCGGCCGGACGGGGAGGGAGGCGGGGAGCTGCCCGCGCTTTGGGTGAAGGGATGGCGGGATGGAGGGTGGGCAGAGGGGGTCGCGGACGGTGAAGAGGCGGAGGATGCAGATGCGGGCGTAGCCGGTAGGTGTTGAGGGGATGCCGCCGGGGCCGAGGGCGAGGAAGGCGTGGTAGTCTTTGCGGATGTAGTGGGCTGCTAGGAGGAGGGAGGGGAGGCAGAGGAGGAAGAGGAGAGGGAGGGGGGAGTTGGCGGCGGTGGTGGTGGTGAGGAGGAAGGGTGACTGTCTGGTCTCCGGGGAGAAGATGAGGGCCTGCATTGAAACTGTTTAGTTGTAGGTTCGTGTGGTCTGGCTGGGGACGATTCGAACATACCATGTTGATAATATCCCCTCCGCACGGATCTAAGTCGGCTCTTTGGGTGGTGTAGAAGCCATGGTACAAGACATAGTAAACTATTTATATTTTACAAGAATTGACCTAAACGCAATTATTATCTCTTCATCTTCTGGTAAGTCAGGATATACGTCGTTGAGTTTACTTTTTAGCGGCATTTTGACTTCACGATAGGCTCATCATCACTATTGCATCATCCGCTGTGGACGAGTCCAAGCCGCTCCAGCTTTGCCTTGGTTCCACGTCTTGGAAATGCTCTATAGTCAACTTCCGGTAACGTATGCTTTCCTGATTCTGTGAGACATGGGATTATCCCATTGACAGGTTAACAACTTGACAGGCTTGAATAGTGGAGGTTTCCAGTAATTGTTGGTTGCTGTTGGCTCAACATCAACTGGTCAGTTATTTTGAAATTCGAACACATAGATCACTTGATTACCCGCAAACTCAGGCTAATCGATGTTAGTATTGAGCTCAAGAGCCGTAATCTAATTCGAATGACTGGTTCAACGAATCTCTAGATTGACACGTGGAAAATGATCAACTTGCCTTGTTGATCCATCGTTATCGTTCCTGTTATTGACACTTCTAAACTAGAGCTTGCCTTTTCTTAATCAGAAGAGTGTTATTCTTCGATTGGGCCGAAGGTAAAAGACTCTACTGGGAGTTCTTGAGTTTCTAGGCGTTTTCATCTTATAAACAGGCTAAGGCAGAGAATCCATATTGGATGAACGGACATGCTTCTGCAGAGAGAATTACAAGCATTCAAGTACACTGTTTGAGTCTTTGAAGCAGTATCAACTTGTCCGAAGAGTTCCGCAACGTCCCTGCGAATGTTTGACAACGCATCTATAATTGCAGATAGCTCTGAAGTTCTGTCGCGGTGGGAATGATATAGAGACCCGAGGAGACTTTCAAAGATGCCTGATATAGTAAGACACAAGTTGCCTGCATTCGCTGCTCTTCAGAATTAGCTTGAAACCACACCATCTATATGCCGTTTCAAGTGCTTGCAAAAGCGATTGTGTTTGACACTTTCCGCTTGCTGATCGGCAGCATTGTCTTGACCCATGTTGCTGCAAATGAGTGAACCATAACGATGTCGGCTGGATGTCAGTCGTGAGGAAACATATCAGGAAAATACCCGACGTAAGCCAATTAGGAACTCGATTGGTGAAGATCTGGATCTCTTCCTGGAAATATGTTTGCTTATAACCAAAGTGGAACACTGGACTATCAGGTGGTCACGACATTGCTCGATGCGCCGATGCTTCAATCTATGGCAGACGTCTGGGAGGGGATTCCGATCGTGGCCTCACAAGCTCGCCGAGTATAGCAACTTATGGCCCCCAACGCGGCGAAGTTGGCTTTCGGGACGCGTACTTCTTGCCTCCGGCGCTTATTACACTGATGACTGGTGGACAATGCAATGTTCGGCGCAGTCCGGCTTCTGTACACCGTAGACAGCATGACAGCAGTGGGTATTCCTTGATTATTCAGGTTCCAGTAGATGTTTCGGGCTGCAAAGGGGCTTTCCATCAGTTGGAAGGGGCTTCGAATTGCTTCAATTTGGTATGACGCAAGGGTCTCTTTGAATATAAGAATGCCATTAGTTGATCCATAGAAATGGAAGTTCTTAGCAATTGCCTATCCTGTACATTCCATTAGAGAATGCTTCCGTCTGGCAGTGGCTGTCTGTCAGTGTGGGGTTGTCCCCTCGTATTTGTATACGGTCTGCAGAGAAGAAGACTCGGTAAATTCATTACCTCCCTAAAGAGGTATAATGCTGTTGAAGTCCTCTGAGCATAATGATTCCATGATCATGATTTCTTCATCTTCAAAACAACAGGAGGCAGTAGCAGATCGATGGTCATACATAAATAGGCCCATTGTCTGAGATCAACCATCTGGTGCCTGGCGATGAAACGGCTCCCGTGTTTTAGCGCCATGACTAAGTCTCTGTCCCGCCCCTCTCTCTCCGTTCTGCCAAGCCCAATCCGGTGGCCCAACTCCCCCTGACAGCGAGAACAGCCAAACAGCCAACGGCCAACCTCTCCTCTATCCCCATCCCCATCCTGTCCATCCATTCATCTTCTTTTACCATCTTCTCCTTCGTCCTCCTATCTCTGATACCTGTTCTCATTGCTCTCTTCCTCAATTTGCCGCTGTTTCTTCTCTCGCCTCTTATCCTTCGCACTTCCGCTTCTCCCGTAACAGATCGCTGGCCGATCTCCGTGTGCTCTTTCCTCATAATTCCGCTTTCGGACAGAGAACGCCCTTCATGTTGTCGTCAGCGCCACAGCAAATATCGAGATCAAACTACCAGTGCCTCCGGGCCAAATAGCTCTTCAAACCCCTTTTTTTATACCAGTGCATTCGCCGGACTCGTCTACATCAAGCGTCCCTACTTTCTTCCGAATCGTAGGCATCATCACAGCTGACCGCCATGTGGCTGTACAGAGGGGCTCAATCGGCCGTCTTTTACTATGCCACCTGTACCCCCTGTGCTATGTCCTTTGACCGTCGCAAGCGAAAGAAGGAAGCTGTTCGATCGCAACGAGAGAAGGAGAAGGTTGATGCCGTGATCACCGATCAACCAAAACCATTCCCTCAGCCAACACCGTTCAGTACCAACCCGGGATGGGCGGAGGAGATTGCTCTAGGTCCGGGCCCTCCTGCAAGGAGAGGAGGTAATCGGAACAATCATCGACGCACCGACAGTTGGAATACTGATCCTTTGTCACCTATGGAGTCCAGCCACGACGTGGGGGAGGCATCGCTGCGAAAGGATAAGAGCAGCCTTAAGCATCCGCTTGGCGACCGGTGGAACCGTCTGCGTCATCAACGCGAGGATGAACCTCTGTGGGGGGAGGAAGTGGAGGTGAAGGGCTCCTCGGTTGGAATCTCCGGCGGAGGCAAAGCGAATACGACCGAACCCAGCAAGTACTATGTCGCCCGGGTGCCCCCGGTCAACGATCTTCATCCACCCATTGTAAGCGGACCCAAGAGCCGAGCGGAAACAAGGTGGATGTTGCAACCGCCTCCCAGTGCCAGAGTCATGGCCGGAAAGGAACCGTTCAGTGCCTCAACCCGCAAGAATGACGGCGGGGCATTACCCAAAGACAATCATCTTAACAAGGCAGGGTCGGCAGTTACTCAGCGGAATAGGCTGCTACCGCCCTTGGCTACTCAAAGTGCGGATCAAAGATCCTCGAACAAATCCACGCCTATTCTGGCTTCTCCCTACGAACACACCGCCCATAAAGCACCAAAGCCCGAAAGCAACAGTCAGCCTGACCTTTCTCGGAAGTTGCCGTCGACTATGCTGCCTTACGGACGTGATGAGAGCACATTTGTCATCTCAGGACCTAGACATTCACGTTGCGATTCACCCTCTACCATATCTTCTCAAGACTGCTCGGAAGCGGAGACTCCCAGTATCTCATGGCAGTATCCTGAAACTCCGACGTCACGGCCAGTATCAAAATCAACGGACAACAATATTAGAAATGCCCGTCCGAAAGTATCAAAGACACTATCCACGTTACACCAGGACAACAAACAGATCCAGCTATACCACTTGGATATCAACGATGATGCGGTTGAAGAAATTAGCCTGGGCCAGTTTGAACCTATTCGACCTTGGCGTTGGAGCATGGACATTTAAGGATAGGACCCCAGCGGGCCACGCTTTCAACCTCGCGTTTGTCTCTTAGACCTTTTGGCCTCGCGCACGTTTCTGGATGCATTCAATTGGTTTCTCTATCTCGGCGTTGGAAGCACAAAAGCGGCTATTCTCTCATTCACTTTTTTTTATTCCCCCCGTTTATCATCCATGCAGAGCAGGAAGAAAGGCCTACCATTATTCCCGGGCTATCTCCATGGCTGGTCCATGGCAGGCTTCCTGTGGGATTCTCAGCCCTAGGCTTCTCGTCCGAGTCATCATCCCATTTGCTAACTCTTTCGCATTCCTGCATTCGAGTCATTCTCATTGTCAGCGCAGATTACCATTCTCTAGCCGTTTCCTTGACCTGTCCCATCCTATTCTTACTCGAAGTTTTTCTTGTGAGCTGTTGAACTTTCTTCGTGTATAATAGCTTCCCTAATACATACCCTGCGTCATATTTTACTTTCAAGCCGGTGTAAATTTACTCGTAGCTGTAAGGAGTGATACGGCAACTATATTCCTGCAGTGATACGTAGTCAATCGATCCACGTGTGGCGTGCATACCTACGTAGTGCATAGTCATACGGGTATAACGATCGACTGGTCCAGCTGCATCCTGCAGGTAGATAGACGCAAGGAAGTAAACGCGATTATCGGGCAGTCCCCACTAGATCGTCCGTGGGAGAACTGTACGTTCTAGTGAAAAGAAATACCAATGGAGACATGCTGGTACTCTTATTTCTCATCTGAGACGACAAGGTTAAGGTAAGAACAAACTAGCCAACAGAGAAATCAAAATCGATTTAGGTCAAAACGCGTCGAACGCCTCTTGATGATGATAGGACGAAGAACCTGCGCTGGCGGAGCTCCAGTCCAAAGATATGAGATGGAGTAGAGGCGGACGGACAAGGGGGGAGGTCTTGTGCGAAATAGATTTTCCAGAGACACGTAGGCGCGTTCGCAAGAAAATGCTGAACGTCAAAGTTTTGGTGGGAGATGGCTGTCCTTGAGTGAGTGGAATATAACCTGCTACTTCTAGTAGACCTTCTTCTTCTCGTCCATGCTCAGTTGGCCGGGACCCATGTTGACCAGGAGAAGGAGACCGCCACTGTTATAGAGTGATTAGGATATGATTACTGGCGGAGGCGGAGGATCGAAACTTACACAATGGATAGAATCTGGAAGAAGTCGTACTTGGCAAAGTCCTTGTGGGGGTGGTGGGGGTGCAGCTGAGAGTAGGAGTCAGTTACGGGCTTT